GCCAGTATGACTGTTTGATCCCCTATTATATTAAAAATACGTTCCTGTCATATTTAAAGTTTGATTAACACAAAAATTAGAGTGATAAAAAGATAATTTCATTCTCAGAAAAGTGTGGGATTTCCCATGGATGTGGGAAATTGTACAAAGGCCCTGTCTGCTTTGAAGAAGTGTGTGCTGTCTCTGTCAGGATGAGAGGAATGGTACCCTTGTTGCTGGCATGAGGACGTACTTAAATTAAGAATAGGAAAACCAAACATATCTAGTTATTTCTCATCCAGAACTCTCATTAGATGGCCACCTGTCATTCACAATATTGATTCTTAAGTAAGCTAGTATCACAGTATCACATCCATCTTCCAAGATGCATGTTTTCCCCAGTTTAGAAAAAAATCCCAATCAATCAGTAACTTCAAAGAGAGGTGATATATTAACAGGAAGGAAATGTGGTAGAGAATCTTACATGTGAGATGTGAAGTTTCTTTCTTACTTTGGGATTATTAAAATCTTTCCCTTGTGGATCTTGTGCTGTATTTTAAGTTTTTTTTGAAAGGAAGCCTTTCCATCACCCATATCTCCAAACTTAATTCAAAATTACAGTACCAAAAGAAGCATGAGGGGAATTTTCCCCAGCTGCTTCCTTCAGTGTTGAACACTTAGAATCAAAGAAAAGGTAACTGACATTGTACCTGAGGGAAGCAAGGAGAAGATGTTTGACATAGTACCTGAGAGCACAAGAAAATGTTACAGAGTAGCTATTTAAAAACCAGATTGAGAAAAATCATAGCTATTTTTAAAAATAATATGCCCTCCTTTTGTTGCTTTATTTTGAGACACGGTCTCATTCTATAACCAGTACTGGTCTTGAATTTGGGAGTAGTTCTCCTGCCTCAGCCTCTCAAGGGTTGGCATTACAGTAAGCTGAGTGCCAAGCTACATTGGGGTGGGGAAGTAGCTCAGTTGATAGAGTACTTGCTTACCATGCGTGAAGCCCTGGGTCCCAGCTCCAGCATGGTATACACCAAATGTGCTGATACATGGTCTCTAATCTCAGCTCTGGTTGGGTGGAGGCAGGGGAATCAGAAGTTCAAGGTCATCCACAACTGGGATACAGGAAATCCTGCCTCAGAAAGTGGGCAGGAGGTGGAACTATTGACATGATTTTGATAGTACAAAACTTTATAAATAGACCCCACATTTTAAAAAGTACTGTTCGTAAGACAGAGAATGAAAACTGGGCTATTCAATTAGGGTGTCATTAAGTGAGTAAATGCAAAGCCTAGAAGTGGAGGGTAGTATTCATATATGCCTAATAAGGATGGGTTTTTAGACTGCATTAAAATTCCTGTAAAAATCAAGGAGAAATCTGCTGCTCAGTACAAGCCGAGCAAAGCCATGCGCTTTCACAAGGGGGCCTGCAGGGTTTCAAGGTGGGGCATTGCCAGTTGTCAGGGACATGGTGGTAAGAACAGAGAGAAGCCTTTGGGCACCTACGAAACTCACCAGGATGACTGAAATCTCAAATAGAAATTTCAATGTATGTGAATATATGGAGTACCTGAAAAGCTCAAATGTGACTTATAGAAAGTAAAATTTGAAAGCAGTTGGTTAGAAGTGCTTATAGTAAAATATGTGCATATCTAATGACCCAGCAAACCTCATTGTCATTGGTATGTCTATTTATATATACATAAATAGATATATGATATGTATATATTATATTTACATATATAATATATAAATGATACATATGCATATGTATATATATGAGACAGGGTATCCTGTGAACCAAGCTGGCCTTGAACTCACTATGTAGCCTTGAACTACATCAGGTTGACCTTGAATTATTGATCCTCCTATTTTCACCTCCCAACCTCAGGGATTATATGTGTGTATCACCACACCTGGCTTATGTGTATGTCTGTTTGTTAATCTGGGCAATGGTTGCATCCACATATTCACACACACACACACACACACACACACACACACACACACACACACACTGTAGTGGGTAGCCATTCCAGCTTTGATCTGGTAGTTCCAAGCCCCATTGAGGCTTCAGTAACTGTCACGCCTACAAGGCAGGGCCAAGAGAGGACCCTGAAGACGCAAGATCTGGATGCACCGGCTCTCTTGGTTCCTGGACCCTGGACACTGGAGGTAGACCGAGCAGAGTTCTCCAGAGAACACCGCCAGACTGCGCTTCACCTTTCCCAGACCCTACAAACCTATCCCTTCACTTGTGAGTTACCCCACAAAATAAGCCTCCCTTTTAACTACATGGAGTGGCCTTCATATTCACCAATAACACATCATGTACTTTACATGTTAATAGCTCAGTCAGAAGTTTACCTTGACCGTTTTATTCAGCAGTAGGGAAATACGGAACAATATGTCTTAGCATGATACCAAGAAGCAGAATTTGAAGTAGTTCTTGACTGTTTACTGAAAGACTCAAAATTCCCCTTGTGGCTGGGGAGTGGATGCCAAAAAGATATCTGTCACTTTAGAGTAATTTGTTCCTCCTGATCACAAATGAGGACTGAGGTCTCTGGGGTGACAGCTGCTTCTATCCTTTCCTTGTGACATGAAGGTGTCACCTGTGGCCCCCATAAATAAACTCAGCAATTATCCCTCCCCCTGTGACACATGTCCCCTTTTTCTCAGAGTCTTAGTGACAAGGGACAGAAGTCAAAGTATAATATATGTATTTGGCCATCAAGGTAACTGTAATGTTAAACTAATGTGGCCACTTTGTTTTTAAAAACTATTCCCATATTTAATCTCAAAAGGAGTTGATAATAAAGGAGAGATATTAACAAAAGGCAGTACAAATACCTTAATGCTAATTAGTACTTCTTTATATTCTACTTTGAAAGTCGTCTGTAAAGATTATTAAATTGGGCACAAGGACTGGGGATAGACATCGTAGCCAGTAAAGGCAAGCATAAGTATCCAAGCTCAATTCCCAGAATCCATGTGGGGCAATGCTGGGCACGGTGGCACAGATCTGTCATCCCAGCACTGGGGAGGCAGAGACAGGCAGACCCCTGGGCTTGCTGACAGGCTGCCTAGCCTAATTCATGAGCCCCACACCAATGAGAGAACCAATCTCAAAAAACAAGGTGGATGGTTCCACAGGAATGTTACCTAAAGACCGACCTCTCTATGTCTCCACATGTGTGACATACATGTGCACTTGTACATACATTATAACACATGTGCGTAATAATTGAATAGGCATATACTGGAAATGTCATTATTTAAAAGGAAATTCAATGTCTACTTAAAAAGAAATTCATTTTTATTGTAGTGCTATTGCTATGAAGAGACACCATGATCATGGCAACTCTTATAAAAAAAAAAAAAGAAAGAATTTAATTGGGGCTGGCTTGTATAGTCCATTGTCATCATGGTGGGAAACATGGCGGCACACAGGCAGACGTGGTGCTGGAGAGGTAGCTGAGAGTTCTACATCTCTTTCTGAAGGCAGCAGGAAGAGAGACACTGGGCCTGGCTTGAACTTTTGAAATCCCAAAGCCCAATGACACACTTCCTCCAATAAGATCACAGCTACCTCAACAAGGCCACACCTCCTAGTTTCTCTCAAGGAGTGCCACTCCCTAATGACCAAGCATTCAAACCCCCACATCCACTCAGAAAAATTTTCTCAAGCTGGAATATTGATTGCATAATGATTAAGGAAGCTCTATGTGTGTGTGTGTGTGTGTGTGCGTGTGTGTGTGTGTGTGTGTGTGTGTGTGTGTGAACTTGACACAAGATAGAGTCATGTGAGAAGAGGGAACCTCAATTGAGAAAACACCCCCATTAGATTTGCCTGTAGGCAACTCCATGGGGCATTTTCTTGGTTGATGTAAATCTGGAAGAGCCCAGACCACCATGGGCAGTTGCCATCCTTGGGCAGTGATCCTTGGTTGGATAAGAAAGCAAACTGAACAAGCCAGTGAGCAGCATTCCTTCATGGCTTTAGTCCTAAGCCCCAGGTTCCTGTCCTGCTTGAGTACCTGCCTTGGCTTTCTTGATAGAGATGTGTAAGCCAAGGAAGCCCCTTCCCCTCCAAGTTTTTTTTTTTTTTTTTTTTTTAAAGATTTACTTTTATTTATTATGTATACAGCATGTATGACTACAGGCCAGAAGAGGGCACCAGATTCCATTACAGATGATTGTGAGCCACCATGTGGATGCTGGGAATTGAACTCAGGACCTCTGGAAGAGCAGTCAGTGCTCTTAACCTCTGTGCCATCTCTCAAGCCCCCCAAGTTGTTTTTTATCATGGTATTTATCACAATAATAAATCGTTTTATTCTCTGAAGTTCTAGAAACCACTAGAATACTTTTAAATTTTTTAATGAAGTAAGGAAAAAGCAAACATTGTCTTCCACCTTTAGGTTCATCAAGCTTTCTTGGGAATAAATAGATGAATGAATTTAATAAGTACTCAAGAATGAATAAATCTTGTCTTCTAATGTCTTACCAGGATTCAAACCCTAAACACTGACTTCACTGTGGCCATTCTTCATGTTATTTATATTCATTACCCCAAATATTTAATATAGACCCTCATGCAGTAGGTTCCAGGATACATTCATCTCCTAGCAACCATTTTCTTCTTTTTCTTATAATCAATGCTGTGACCACAGAAGCCTTAGTCTGCTTAGGGTGACTTTGGCTGCACCAGCTCTTGGTCATAGAAACTTGGAGCCTCTTGAAGATAGAGTAATCTCGAACCTAGTGTTTTCACACTTTCCTCATGCCTGTGACAGGACTCGGGCTCAAAGGAAGAGTGAGTGATTTTTATGGGTGGATCTACAGATCCAGTACAGTCTAAAATGGTGTATCACCAATGTGGAGAAGCTTCAAGCCTTATCATAAACATGAGTATTTACCCCCTTCCTATAACACTGTTGTACGAAGCTTACTTCAGTCAGTGGTTTGAAACAACGCTTCTCACATACACTTTTGTGTTTTTTCCTCAGGTTCCCTTTGATGTCTCCCTGCCTGCTATATTCAATCTTGAGAGACTTTTTGATCTTGCCAATGGTTGTATCGTGTCAGTAGGAAGCCTTTTCAACTGGGTGGTGTCAATTATTCCCTGAGCATCCTTTACAGGGTAACTCTAAGGGAGATTTAATTGTTACTGATTTTTTGTTTGTTTGAATGAAATTTCTAAATTTTTTAATCTCATAAATACCAATATTTTCTCCTATGTTGAACTTGAGAAGTCTGTTTATTTGGCTTGGGAAAACATTTTCCACTTAGCATGTAATATGCTTCTGAGGGGCACTCAGCACGGAACTTTATTGCACCAGCTTTGGAATTCTGGAGACCTGGGTCTGGGTAGCAACTTTACCTCCTGCTTGCTTTGTACATTTAAAGAGTTAGCTTCGATTCTTCAGCATTTGCACCTTCATCTTTAGAGTGGGAATATTAGTGTCTATCTCATAAGACTGCTGTTATATAGTAAAGTAAGTGAAATAGTTCAGGTGCTTAGCTCAGGCTCGACCAAGTGGGAGATCATGGATTGTCATTTGCCTCATAAACTGGAAGAGCACCAGACATTTTGACTGTTCATCTAGCTTCTAACAGCGTCATTCCCTAACCCTTCCCAAGCTCTGACACATGAATGGATACTCATGAAAATAAACTAATCACTAAATACAATTAATGTTCCAAATTTATGTTTGTACTCAAGTTTCAAATTGTACACATACATGAGGTTCCAACATTTCCCTAGATTCAATATGGTTATCTTTCATCCTTCACTGTTAAGATTTTACTAGTTTGACACTTAATTTTCTTATAAATATTAATGAATATATTTTCATACACTTTTTTAAAGAACCATAGAACAATGTCTGGTGTTCCACAGAGGCCGATAATATTTGCTGAATGAGTGGCCAGATGGAGAAATGCTTGTGATCCAGGCAAAGTGACATATGGAGCTATAAGAAAGAGGGAGTCCAAGATGTCACCAAGACCTCCATCACCATTATCAATCCCATTGTTGCCTATCCTTTCTGGACCATTGCCAAGCCGTGTTTAGTTGTTACTGTACATGAATTATGTCCCTCTGTCTTCACACAAACTACGACCACAATGCACGTGGTCTTACTGACCCCATGTGACAGAAAAGGAAACAGAAGTCTAAAGCAGTTATGTCACCTGCTCAGTGACCAGGGCCATTCACAGTTGCAGCCAGGATTTAAATCCTGCCTGGAGAGTCTGAGCTCCTTAGTGCAAATTGGGTAGTTCCTACTTTTGCCCCTAATCCAGGGCTCAGGGAAATTTGTAAGTCAAGAGAAAGTGAGCCCTAGCTGAGCCTCAAGCTAAGACCAGATGAACTAGCATCTGCTTTAGGAATAGATATTTTTTAAGTGATCTGTAGACCTGAAAGGATGGATGCTCTAAGACACATGGAGATGATCAGAGAGAATGTTGTCCATGCTCGTGTGCTAACTTCCGTTCCAACGATTGCAGCTAACGTCTCATTTCAGTGCATTTGAAAAGCTGCTCCTTCCTTCTCTGTTGTTTACCGATACTATTATGCTTGGGTGTTGTTTTGCCTGAGAAAAACACTATCTGCAATGCACGAGACCCTGTACTCACGGTTTCCCCATTTTAAGCTATCACTCTAGAAATTCCCTGTATCTTCTCAAATAATAGTGCCACTCCCTAGTTAAAGCTGGAACAGCCTGTGAGGAAATGATGAAGTGGGCTGAAGCATAAACAAACAAAAACAAACATCAAAATCTACAAGGATGAACAATGTGTTTATTTCCAGAAATGTCTTGCAAGTTTTTTTTCAAGACGAAGTGACAATTTTTGCAACCGAGTTTATCTTTTAAAAGCCATCTACTGTACCTGTAAATGCTTGCCAGCAGACACCTGTGATGTTTTCCACGTGTTTTAATTATAACAGGGACAGCATGAAGGAAAGGGAAAGAAAGAAATAAATTCAAAATCGTGGGAGGGAGCTTGGAAAGGGAAGCCATGGCCTGCAGCTGAGGTATATGTAATAGAAGACAAGTATTTCCCCTACCTGCCTTATTCCTCCACGGAACTGAGGTATAACTTGTCTACCCACCATCCATTTGGATGCTTGAGTGCTGTTGTGTGGCTCACTGCATGTGGGGCACATCCACAAGAGTGTGATGCTGACATTGTAGATGCCTGAGTAAAGAATGTGAAACTGAATTGCAGAGATGAGTATCAACCCACAGTCACCCCAAAAGTAGGTTGAAGTCTTGTGACAGATCTATAGGTTAGAAGTGACAAATTATACAACATTTAAAGGCAAGTATCATGGCATAGTATTTATGGAATCATAAAACACACACACACACACACACACACACACACACACACACACACACACACACACACACACTAAGTTTTTAAAAGCAAATGAATGGTTGGCAGCAGATTCCAGCTGTGGTCATCTCTTGGAGGAAGAAGGGAAAATGAGCATCAGGGAGAATCCTCAAGAGGTTTCACTTGTATTTCTAATTTTCTTTCTTAAGCCAAATATTTGTTATGTAAGTCTCTCAGGTTTTTGCAAGCATCTGTTTCATAAACGGAAAAACAAACCCCTCTCTTTCTCTTGGCATCTCCTTGGTTAGCAAGCTTTGTGCAGTTATAGACTTGCATACCCGTCAGCAACAACTATATGAGAGCTGTGATTCTGGTCGCATACACGGCTACAACTCAGAGGTCCCCAGATCTGGTTCCATTAAATTTGGATTTTAATGGCAACTAAAAATCATTTGAAAACTCGTGTTAAATTATATCCATGTGCCCACTTTCAGAAAATCAATCTATGAAGACATTAATTTTTAATATAAAGTAGTAGAGCCTTAATAAATGTTTAATTCAGTGGAAGCAGAATCCCTACATAGTTCCTATCAGTTATAAGTCCCCTTGTTATACTTTAAATTATTTGAATTCCCCAAATTAAATCTGTATGGATCCTTTTCCATGACTGCCTGCTGTATAAAAGCAGTTCACATGTAAAACCTATCTACCATTCATACTTTTAGTTCACATGTAAAGCCCATCTACTATTCATACTTCCAATGTTTTAAATATATACAAAGAACTTTCTCTTTAACAAAGACTTGTTTTCTGTTTTTACTTTCTCTTCAGTAATGACTTGCTTATGAGTTTCAATTTTGACACTAAAATTTCCATGACAACCCATTTTTTGTCATAAATGCATGCATGATAAAGAGGGAGGCTTTAGTGGGAAAGCTGGATTAAGAGGCACAGGAGTTTTATTACAAGTACATTTTCAATTGGAACTTCAGAGACCAGACAGAATTAATTGCAATTGCAAATGAATTGCTCTTGCTGCCCCCTGACACTTCAGATCACCTTTATCTATTTTGTGTTCAACAGCTCAGAATGAGTGGATCTGGAACCAGAGCCTGCTCTAATACATACAGCTTTAAAACCTCCCTTTAAATCATCCACATGGTGGAAACTCAAGAGATTTCTGAATACTCTAGGATTTCTAGTCTCCTTACTTTCCTAATTTAATTCTCTCTCTCAAGAGTCACAAGAATTTCTTGGACTGATTTCTCACCATTATAAAATGCAATTCAAAACTAATGGAATTTGTAAAATGTTGAAAGTAGAAAGAAAAAAAAGTTACCCAGAAGTCCACCACTACGTAATAACTAAGTTTAATATTTAAACATATTTCATCAAATATGTCTAAGTATTTTACTAATAGACAAAGATAAACAATGTTCAAACAATGATCACACTCAAGATTCAAGGCAACCTTCTGTATTCCCCAAATGTAACATAGATGGGCTTTTTCAGAGCTTATTGGCTGGGAAAATGCTCAAGTTGGGGGTGTTTAGATCTGGTGGATTGGATGAAATGCCATAAAATAATGAAGATGTAATTAGGTCCAAAGGAATTGTCTAGGGTTGTTCTCCCTAGTAATAAAGTGGTAATGATCCACAGAAAGCCAAGAATCAGATCTTAATTTTGTCCTTTAGAGGCAGGTCATTTAATCTCCCTGAGATATGTTCATTTCTCCTTGATAAGCTTAGCTCTTTCATACAAACATGTGTTTGTTCATTTGAAATTTTTTTTTATTTGATAGTTTTAATTCACTGTCTGTGAATTTTGCTACCTAGGCAAATGTCTTTCTCGGCTCTTTTTTACTAAAAAAAAAAAAAAAATTTAAAACACTCAATTCTATTACAGGAACCATGCATACAGTGAATGGCAGCTAGGCTGCCCCTGTCTTCGGTAACACATTTGATCCACAATCCCACTCCTGTAGATATAACCAAAGGAACTAGAAGCAGTATATTAAAGAGGCATCTCACTCCCATGTTCATTTCAAAGTCTCAGGGTGTAAAAACAAGTGTCCATCATCTGATGAATGAATAAAGAAAAACCCCAAATCATGATAGATTACTACTCAATTTAAAAGAAGGTGGGGCGGGGAGGGGGGGGACACTTGTCACTGTGACTGCATGGATGAAGCCGGAAGACATCATGTTAAGTGAAATAAGCCAGTCATAGGAAGACAAATACCACAGGCTTTGCTTACATGGGGACTTTCACAGAGTTGAAGTCACTGTATAAGTAATAGTATGGTATGTACTGGGAGCAGACACTATTATGCTTGGGTGTTGATTTGCCTGAGAAAAACACGATCTACAACCTGCCAGACTCTGTAGTCACAGTTTCCCCCATTTTAAGCTGTCATTCTAGAAATTCCCTGTGGTTCCCTCTAAGTCCAAGGGAATCTATCATACAAAATAGTGTCTCCAGTTAACCACAATATATGTAGTTTTGAAAACAATTGGGTAGATTTTAAGTGTTCTCACCACAAAATATTTATGTGAGTATAAACATTTATTAGCTTGATTTGGTCATTTCAAAACAGTGTTTTGTGTGTGATACAAGCACAGGGAGATAGGTCTATACATGAGAGAGATTTTGTATATGTATATGAGAGAGAGAGAGAGAGAGAGAGAGAGAGAGAGAGAGAGCCTTTTGAATGTGCTAATTTTTTTCAAAGCTCATGTATAATGGCCCCAATTTGTTGGCCCAGGCATCTCTCATACCACAATGTCTCTACCACATCTTCCCTAAACCTCCATGAAACACACATATGCTCTAGTCATATGCATTCAATTCTGCATATGCTGACTATGATATCTACTCCCTCCTTATGCTCAGGGA